TGCAGGGGGGTGCGCATCTTCTCCTAAGATCTATTTCTTTCAATACTTTCCTTAATTTGTATCTTCATGGTAATGATTTTGGTAGGGTGTACCCCCTCCTGAGAAGCCCGCACCCCTCCCTGAGGAAAATCCTGGATCCGCCCCTGGGTATAACGCCTTTATGCCAAAAATGCGCAAAGCTCAATGCAAAAAACTCATTTGCATGTTATAAACACTTAAGTGAAATCGTTCTTATATTATTGTATTATATTATTACTATATGAGAGGGTACATCACAAAAGGGGTCTTGTGTCTAGCGTGAAAATCCAGCCCTCCCAAAGAAGCCAATTAATTCACGGTGCGCATCAAAAGGGTCTTAATTCTTTAGACACCTTTTGTGCTGTCCCTTCTCATATGTTCATTTTGGGGCCAGTCAGCACCGATTARACCTGGTTTCATGACAGGTTGAGAAAACAATGGACAAACAATAGATAAGTCTTCCAACAATACTAACGTGCAAAACATAAGCTAACAATAGAGCTTCTGTGCTTAAGCAGCAATCAAAAAGCATGTTTTGATCGGTACTGTATTACTGTATTTGGACAACATGTGTGAGTCGGTTGGATTATTGTCCAAAATAGGTAAATTTTTACAACATACAATCTAACAGATAGTTGAAGTTCAAATATATTACATATGTTCAAAATGTTTCACACTTGTTTTCATTTTGTAGTTGTTTATCTATAGTACACCCACAGGAAGACCATCACACACAATACTAACACAGTTGACACCCTTAAGGCCCACTTTTGGAGGGGTGTTTCTTCAGCAAATGGTACTACATCAAGGTACCGTACAGTTTTGGTGCTTTGGTCCTCAGTTTGACCCTTGAACTTGRTGTAGTTCTTGTCTTCATCTTCAACAGTTGCATTGTCAGTTTCTAGTGGATTAAATACAAATAGGCAAAAGAGCTAGTCCTTTTCCAAATTCAAATCATATAACTACAYATTCTTATAGTCAAGGGACAATCAAAAGGCTGAATTAGACGGTACAACTTTTGTMTACAACCATCACATATCCCCAAAAAATACTGATAGATATATTGGCTGGTCTTCTGTGTGTATTTACCAATTTCCGTTTCTTGTCCAACCTGAGACAACTCAT